GGGATTGCTGGCGAGCTTAGCAATCCAAGGTATGAAGCTCGCTGGGATTGCTAGCAAGCTCATCGATCCTCCCTTCTTTACAACCCTAACCCTGGATTATGTAATCAATGCTTTGTTAGAACGTTGAATTCTTGATACCTGGTTCTTGTTATTCGTAACCTGTTTCGTAATCTGCATGTTGGATGGATTATAACATCATCTCCCTTCTATCAGTTGTTATTCTCAACGATCTTCTGTAAGTATTTTAGCAAGTTTTCCGTATGCATGATCTTGCCTTCTTAATCGAGATGAATAATAAAGTTGCGAAACCGAAATCTTCGAATCCTCGTTCTAACAGAAAGAAGCAGAAAAGCTTTCTTCTTCAGTCTATTTTTTTAAACAGTTTCAATATGCATTCTTGTTCCTATTGTAACAATTGGAGCCTGAAGTTGTATATTGTTTCTCCTTACGATTCGTTCCGTTATTCAGAGTATGTTTCTCAGAATTGCGCTAAGTGCGATGTTCTGGAATCAACGAATGCTGCTAAACTTCTTCTCACTTCTACTCAATACCAAAAACTGAAGGATGAGATAGAGGAGTTGGAGCTAAAATTAACTAGGTTGCATTAACAAAAGAAGGTATAGCGTGAAAGGATATCTCGAGCTATCCGTTAAAATCTCAAGAATCTCGAAGAGCTTGAGAAGGAAAAGGCTGAGAAGGCTAAAGCTGAGAAGGTGCGTATTGCTGCTGAAGTGCAGGCTATAGTAGCTGAGAAATCTGCTATTGTAGCTGAAGATTCTTCTTTTGAGAGTTTTGATTGGAATTCTGTAAACTTGGGGAATTCAGTAGTGGATTAGTTAGGTTTCCTGGAGAGTGAAATTTCTGAAGCCTCTGAGCTTCGGTTCAGGGCGGAGCGATCGTTCTAGATGCTGGTTTCTTTTCTTTTTTAATACTCAGCTACTTTTTTCTGAGCATTTTTAATGTTTTTCTGTAATTCCTACGAATTTTCACTTGCTGAATAATCTTTCCATTTGATAAGGTATTCCCTCGTACTGTTTATGCTTTTGTATCTGAGAATCTTTTCTACTTCATATTCTAATTCATTGTTTTCCACTTCCGCTGCATCATCCGCTAGTATTTCCTATGCTGCTAATTCCAGCAGTAAGATATAGAAAACTAGATATATTCTTATCCTATAAGATAATGCTAACTTATAATTAATTAGGGAAATTTATTATAGAATTTTGAATAATTCTAACTTTTTGTAATCAAGTTTGTTGCTGGATCTAGTTGTTTTAATATTTTTCCGAAGTAGGTAGATCTTATTTCCCTTCTATAGGATTGGTTTCTCAATTCTTTTGAAGTTTGTATATTGTATTATTCGTTTCTGAATGAATTATAGTTCTAATTGGAGTTCTTTCTGAACTTTCTTAATCTTTTTAACTTTTTTGTTTGCAGCTTCTGCATCTGCTTCTAGCAATGCTTTATAATAAGCTGTTGAATTATATCTATAGAATATGAAGAATAATAACTTCTTTATTATACTTATATCTGCATTATTATAAGCAAATTATATAAGAAATAATAGATTAATCTAATTATTCTATTTCTAGTTGATATAGTATTAAAGATACTATTCAATAATCTGATTTATTCTTTCTATTTATTTATCTATTTGCAGATGAAATGCTATAAACATTCTGTAATATATTCTAAGCTGTTTTATAAGCAAAATCTAAAATTTTGAATTGAACTTTCTATTTCTATTAGAGATTACTTCTTCTAGTATGCTACAATTAGCAATAATCATTCTAAGAAATGCATATGCAAGTTCTTCTGCTATATTGCTTTCCTTATAAAGAAGGAAGTAAGCATACTTGCTTAGTTTGCAAACTATTACTAGAATGCTATTATATTGTATTTTAGTTAAGAGTTCTTATAAGAAAGATAGCTTAATAATAAAGTTTAGATTGATAGATTATTACATAGTTATAAATACTAATAAGAGATGCAGTAGTTTATAAAGCTTATATCTTTCTGCTTTGTTTTTCTTGCAGCTGTTGTATTATTATAAAAAGTTTTCAATTCTCTTTCTAAAGCTTAGCAGATTCTAGTATCTTTTGATGCATTTATAGATTGCTTTAACTTCCTAGTATTCATATGCTAGTGCACTATATATATTCTTAATATAGTTATCTTATTGTAATGAGCACTGCAGCAATCCGAAGATTTCTAAGTACACGAAGGGGTTTATGCTAACAAGAGCGGTATCAAAGTGTCAAGTCCTTGAATACGGAACCGTACAAGTCCTAATAAGCGATGCAAGTGTTCACTGCCTTTGGAGCTACTTAGTATATGAAACTGAATACTTAGATTAACAACTGAAGAGCTATATACAATGATCTGTTTAATGGTAATGAACGTGTGATTATATATTCAGCTCTTCAGTGTAGCTTGTTGGGATCGCTAGCGAGTTTAGCGATCCAAGGTGTGAAGCTTGTTGGGATCGCTGACGAGCCCAACGATTCTCCTTCCTTTACAACTCTAATCCTGGATTATATAATCAATGCTTTGTTAGAACGTTAGATTCTTGATATCTGATTCTTGTTACTCGTAATCTGTTTCGTAATCTGCATGTTGGATGAGTTATAATATCATCTCCCTTCTATCAGTTATTATTCCCAATGATCTTCTGTAAGTATTCTAGCAAATCTCCGTATCTATGATCTTGCTTTCCTAATTGAGATGCTGAATAGAATTAACAAAGTTGCAAAACCGAAATTCTCGAATCCTCGCTCTGATAAAAAGAAGCAGAAAGATCTCCTTCTTCAGTTCATTCTTTCAAACAGTTTCGATATGCATTTCTATTCTTATTGCAACAGTTGAGGCCTGCAATCGTGTATCGTTTCTCCTCACGATTTATCTCGTTGCTCGGAGTGCGTTTCCCAGAATCGCGCTAAGTACGACGTTCTGGAGCTGATGAACGCTGCTGAACTCCTCCTTATCTCTACTCAGTATCGAAAGCTGGAGGATGAGATAGAAGAGTTGGAGTTGAAGTTGCTTCGACTGCATTAACAAAAGAAGATGTGGCGTGAGAGGATGTCTCGGGCTATTTGTCGAGGTCTCAAGAACTTCGAAGAGCTTGAGAAAGAGGAGGCTGAGGAAGCTGAGGCTGAGAGGGTGTGTGTTGCTGCTGAAGTGCAAGCTGTAGTAGCTGAGGAATCTGCTGTTGTAGCTGGAGATTCTTCTTTTGAGAGTTTTGACTGGAATTCTGTGGATCTGGGGAATGCAGTAGTGGATTAGTTGGGTTTCCTGGAGGGCGAGATCTCTGAGGCCCCTGGACCTCGCTCCGGGGCGGAGCGGTTGTCTTAGGTGCTGGCTTTCCTTTTCCAATATTCAGCTACTTTTCCCTGAGCATTTTTAACGTTTTTCTGTGGTTTCCAAGAATTTTCGCTTGCTGAGTAATCTTTCCATTTGATGAGATATTCCCTCGTATTGTCTGTGCCTCTGTGCTTGAGAATCTTTTCCATCTTATACTCTGGTTTATTGTTTTCTACTTCTGCTATATTGTCTGTTAGTATTTCCTATGCTGCTAGTTTCAGCAGTGAGATGTGGAAAACCGGATATATTCTTATTCCATGGGATAGTGCAAGTTCGTAGTTAACTGGGGAGATTTTTCGTAGAATTTTGAATAGTTCCAACTTTTTATGGTTGAGTTTGTTGCTGGGTCTGGTTGTTTTGATGTTTTTTCGAAGTAGGTAAGCCTTATCTCCCTTCTGTAAGATTGGTCTCTCAATCCTTTTGGAGTTTGCATATCATACTATTCGTTTCTGAACGAATCGTAGTTCTGATCGGAGTTTCTCCTGAACTTTCTTAATCTTTTTAACTCTTTTATTCGCAGCTTCTGCATCTGCTTCTTGCAATGCTTCGTAGTAGACTGTTGGATTATATTCATAGAGTACGAAGAATAGTGATTTCTTTATCATGCTTATATCTGCGCTATTATAAGCGAACTGTGCAAGAAGCAATAGATCAATTCAGTTGTTCTGTTCCTAGTTAATATAGTATTGAAGATATTATTCGATAATCTGATTCATTCTTTCTGTCTGTTCATTTATTTGTGAGTGAAATGCTATAGATATTCTGTAATGTATTCCGAGCTGTTTTATAAGCGAAGTTTAAAACTTCGAATTAAACTTTCTATCTCTATTGGAGATTACTTCTTCTAATATGCTGTAATTAGCGATGATTGTTCTGAGGAATGTATATGCGAGTTCTTCTGCTGTACTGCTTTCCTTATAGGGAAGAAAATAAGCATACTTGCTTAATTTGCAAACTATTACTAGGATGCTATCGTATTGTATCTTAGTTAAGAGTTCTTGTAAGAGAGATAGCTTAGTAATGAAGTTTAGACTGATGGATTGCTAAATAGTTGTAAGTACTAGTAAGGGATGCAGTAGTTTGTAAGGCTTGTATTTTTCTGCTTTATTCTTTTTGTAGCTATTGCATTGTTATAAGATATTCTCAATCCTTTTCCTAAGATTTAATAAGTTCTAGTATCTTTTAATACATTCGTAGATTGCTCTAACTTCTTGATGCTCATATGCTAGTATACTGTATACATTCTTGATGTAGTTGTTTTGTTTATTCGGAATTATTGATTCTGGATTCCTTTCCGAGAGTTCGATTCTGAGAGCTGCGTTCAGTTCTTTGTATGCATTAACGAGATTTTCTAACTCATCTTGGGCGAAGATGTTCTGTATGTTCGAAGAATCTGCATCTCGATAGTCTGATCTTCTGCTGAGAGCGTCTGCTTGTTCGTTCTCCGAGCCTTTGTAGTGCACAATCTTGAAATCGAATTGTAAGAGGAATTCTGCTCATCTGACTTATTGCTTATTCAAAATCTTGATTGTTATAAATGTAGTTAGATTCTTATAATCTAAGTAAATTATAATCGGGTGTTGTATGCTAATGAAATAGTATTGCTACTTCTCGAAAGCTTTTACTATTGCTATAAGTTTTTAATCAGGGATTCCGTAGTTGATTTCCGAGCTATTCAACTTCTTTGAGAAATTGCTTATAATCCTTAAACGTTCTTGGTTGTTTTGCTGATCAAGTTGTTTTCCGAATGCATATTCTGATGTATTGATCTTAACTTCAAAGGGTTTGTGGAGATCTGCTTTATACAGAATTGGTTCTGAGATAATATGCCTGATGATCTCGTTGAAAGCTTCTTGTGCCTTGGAGGTTCATTCGAAAGGCTATTTCTTTTTGATGAGATTTGTAAGAAGGTGTATGATCCGGCTGTAGTTTCTAATGAACTGCTTATAGAAGTTAATGTATCTAAGGAAAGATCTAACATCTCTGATATTTCTGGGAATTGGCTAGTTCCTAATAGCTTCCATCTTATCTTTCTGTGGCTTGATATATTCTAGCTTGATTGTAAATCCGAGGTAGTTAACTTTTTGTATGTAAAAGTGGCTCTTTGCGGGTTCTACAAGGAGTTTCGCATTCTGAAGCGTTTGCAATACTATCTTCATATGTTTCTTGTACTCTTCCAGTGTTTGAGAGTAGATAAGGATATTGTTGAGGTAGGCAATGACGAACTGATCCAGGTGCTTGTATAGAACGTGATTGATCATTTCCTGGAACAAAGCTGAAGCATTTATTAAATCAAAGAGCATAACCAAATATTCGTAGTGTTCGTAGCGTGTTCTGAAAGCAGTTTTCCATTCTTCTTCTTTCTTTACTCTGATCAGATTATAAGCTCCTTTTAGATTTAGAACTGTAAACTACTGAGCTCCTTGCAATCTATCTTGTAGTTCCTTGATGAGTGGCAACGGATATCGGTTCTTGATTGTAATATTATTGAGTTGCCTGTAATCAATGCATAGCCTGAGCTTGCTGTTTTTCTTGGGTATAAACAGGATGGGGTATTCTGCTGGTGATTGCAATGATTGTATGTATTCTTTCTTAAGATTCTCATCGAGATACTCCCTAAGTGTCTCTAGCTGTGCTTTGTCTAGTTTGTAGATGGGGAAGAATTTGGGCTGTTTCCCTTCTTGTAGCAGAATCTTGTAGTTGTATAAGCTGTATTCTGGCAATCCCGTATCCAATTCTTCCTGGAATAGTTTCTTGAACTTGTAATATTCTCGTAGTATGTTCGCGAGTGTTGGTTCTGATCCTTGTGCTGTTTCTGCTATCTGGAGGAACAGTAGGTATTGCTAAGCGTGCTTCTTTTTGTTCGTTGTTTTTGGTGACGTTTTTGAAAGCCTTAAGCGTTCGCTCCGGGCCGGACCGAGCGTTCGAGAGCCTGGTTTCGAGGTTTTTCCCGTATGAGTCTACAATTCACATTCTGAAGCTTCTTCTTATTGCTCCGGAGCGAACCGACTTGCTGAGGGTCTTGCTTCCATTGTTTTGCTAATCTGTTGGCGCTCTGGCACTGTTTGGGTTCGCTTATTACTAGGTCCTTCTCCTTGAACTGCTAGCTCTGCTGGTTTGGAGATATGTATAAAGTTGTGTGAAGCTTCTTTTCCTGAGTATTCTTCAACCACTGGCTTCAATCCTGCGCTGTTGATTGTAACTATCTCTCTGGGTACAGCTTGTTCCCATGAGATCTGGCTAGTAGTCCAATCGATTCGAGGATTGTGCTCTTTGAGCTATAGAAGCTCTATAATCAGCTCATGTTGTGCTGTATCCGTGATATCAAAAGAAGCTCTGATTACATATCCTTGGATCAAGACAGATAAATGATTAGTCTTCTTATTGATTACTCCTTGGTTATATGCAACAGATTGTTCTTCTACAGTGCTGAGAGTGTATAAGCATCTCTTCCATTTCTATTGTAGTTGTATCTGATTAATAATGTATAGAGATATAAAGTTTCCCTAAGCGCTACTATCCAATAGTATGCTGTATTTATATCCTTGAATGTATATATCGAACTTAATGTGAGCGTAATCTGTTCTAGAAGCTTTACATAGGAACTGTTCTAGTCTGATCGTCTGCAGTCCCTTTACAGGCGATCCTATCCTTTTGGATTCATCGAGAACTGTTTATCCTTCTGAGCCTACTTCGCTGCTTCTCGAGCAAGCTTCTTAGCTTGTTTTTGCCTGTATTGTTATTATTCCTGATCTTTCTTCTGTTAATGCTAGTTGCAAATCTTATTATTAATGTAAATCGTACAGAGTATCGTTTTGTACTGCCACCATTTTATCTTCTTATCTATACATTGCATGGGATAGTTATTCAGTAGCCCGATGTATGCATTATAGTGCTATTTGTTGAGAACTTCTCTGAAGCGGAGTTCCTTTTCTTCAATAGCTTGAAGGATTTGTTCTGATTCTCTAATGGAGAACCATTCGTATTGCATCTTATCTGAGAAATGCGTTCTGCAGCTATGATAGGTGCAGGAAATCCAAGCTAGTTCGTGGTATAGGTTATGAAGTGAACTAATCCAAGAGTCCTCATCTTCTCGTGCTTCGATGTTCTGCAAGGGGATGCAGGCAAAGAGCTCTTCCAATCCTATCCTATAGACGAGATATTCAATCCATATTATTTCCTTGTTCCATTCAATGCTGAAGGGAAACCTTCCTGTAAATTTCTTGGATTCATTGTTTATAGAAGACTCCGGTAAATCGTTAGATCGTTCGTTCTAGCTTGATCTTTCCGTTGCCTGAGAGACGTTTTCGGTATTGTTTAAGTATTCATACCAGTAACCAAGGAAGTACCATTCTTTATTTATATCCCTAGTTATAGTGCTTGGCGTAAGCGATGAAGAATGTTGAAGGGTATCGTTGCTAAGTTCTTCTTCCAATGCCTGAATGCTTTGTTCCGTGATATCGGAGCAGTTCGAGTTGTTGCTGCTTGTAATCATGCTGAGCGTATACCCTCGCCCTGCTATTGCTATTTGTCTGCAGCGCTTAGGTTTCTGAGAGAATCATCCTAAACCTTTCTTACTCAAGAGGTATGTTAAGCAGTTATCATTATAGCAGAATGTTCAGCTGAGACTTCCGTAATTAACAGAATCCGATACTTGCTCCAAGAAGATGTTTTTATTCAGTTGATTGGATTTCTATTGCCAAGCGATATTCACCTAGCATTCTTTCTAAACTAGTTGCTATTTGTTCTTCCAGAGTTAATAGCAGTTGCATGCAATATATCCTTATTTGTTGCAATTGTAGCAAGTAATACTGTTCCTCTTACTATACTGCCTGTTAGCAGCATCGAGCTCCATAGGATCAGCATGCATAGTACCGCTCTAAGCTGTACTGCTATATCAATCGCTATTCTTGTTTTGGAGTTTCTTGCCTGTGTTAGCTGAAAACCTTCAAGTCTAGCTTTCTTTCTTCTTGGATTTCTCCACCCGTTGTTCATACAAACAGTTGTTGATGCGGATAGCTTGATTGGAGAACATTGCAAAGTTCTCCAGCCAATTCTGCTTGGAGATTTCATCTTTAATGTTATTCTTGAATCTCTTGTAATAGTACTTTATAAGATTCTTATCTTTCTATGAAAGTTGCACTGAGAGTTGCTTGAATCTGACTGTGTAAGCAGAAGCTGATTTAGTCTGCTTGAGATTCATAAGCTGCTGAGCTATAGTGCATTCTTCGTTAGGATTGCCAAAGGTCTCTTTAAAAGCCTTCTCAAAGCTTTTAAAGGAATCGAATATATCCTTAATACCCTGGGTATGTGCATTGGAGTTGTTCTGATGCTCCAAGTAGTTGTATAGAGAAGGTTTGTACTAGATGAGAGCATCCTTTTCGAGATGAATCTCTGCAAGGATAACTTTCTCAGATTCCTTAGTAAACTGGGTTTCGTAGTGCAGGAAATACGCCCTGCAGTGGGTGAGGAATCCATGCAGCGTTTTCTGGTTGCCATCATATATAGCAAGCTTGTTCATCTTGTATGCTTTTCCGGCGCTACTGATGATCACAGAGGTAGACTGCGCCTGCTGAGCCTGTTGAGCTAGCTGGGCCTGCTGGTTAGCGATGGTGGCGCTCTGAGCCTGCTGTTGTTCGCGCAGGTTCTGAATATGCTGAATAAGCTGGTACACCTGGTTAACCAGTTCCTCCTGAGTGGGGGCGTGCGAGGACGAAGGGGTTTCTGAAGGAGCTATCGTATTCCGTATTGCTCAAGGGGGTAATACTGAATCGTTCTTGAACAAGAGTTGTCAAAATGTAATGAGCACTGCAGCAATCCGAAGATTCCTAAGTATACGAAGGGGTTTATGCTAACAAGAGCGGTGTTAAAGTGTCAAGTCCTTGAATACGGAACCATACAAGTCCTAATAAGCAATGCAAGTATTCACTGCCTTTAGGGCTACTCAGTGTATGAAACTGAATACTTAGATTGACAACTGAAGAGCTATGTACGATGATCTGTCTAATGGTAATGAACGTGTGGTTATATATCCAGCTCTTCAGTGTGGCTCGTTGGGATCGCTGGCGAGTCTAGCGATCCAAGGTGTGAAGCTCGTTGGGATCGCTGGCGAGCCCAACGATCCTCCCTCCTTTACAACCCTAACCCTGGGTTATGTAATCAATGCTTTGTCAGAACGTTGGATTCTTGACACCTGGTCCTTGTTACTCGTGACCTGTTTCGTGACCTGCATGTTGGATGGGTCATAACACTTATTCGTCTGAAGTTATTGATTCTGAATTCTTTTCTGAGGATTCAATTCTGAAAGCAGCATTCAGCTTCTTATATGCATTAATAAGATTCTCTGATTTATCTTGAGCAAAGATGTTTAATATATCCGAGGAATCCATATTTCAATAATCTGATCTTCTACTAAGAGCATCTGCTTATTCATTTTCTGAGCTCTTGCAATATATAATCTTAAAATCGAATTATAAAAGGAATTTTATCTATCTAATTTATTACTTATTTAAGATCTTAGTTATTATGAATATAGTTAGATTCTTGTAATCTAAGTGAATTATAATCGAATATTATGCTCTAATAAAATAGTATTGCTATTCTTCGAAAGCTTTTACTATTGCTATAAGCTTCTGATCTAGGATTCTGTAGTTAATTTCTGAGCTATTCAACTTTTTTGAGAAGTTGCTTACAATCCTTAGATGCTCTTGATTATCTTGCTAACTAAGTTGTTCTCCAAGTATATATTCTAATGCATCAGTTTCAATTTCGAATAGCTTATAGAGATCTGCTT